TCCAGAAACATTTCCATGCACAAATGGAAGTGCAATATATGACTTATGTGGTTTTAGAACAATGGGGAAAGGATAAAATTTCCAATGAGTGGTGTGGGAACAATTGGTTATCCATATTTAAAAAATTGCACTCCTACTTCACACCCCACATAAAAGTCAATCCCAGATGATTGAAGACTTAATTGTAAAAGGTAAAGCTACAAAATGTTTAGAAACTGTACAGGAGAATATCCTTACGAACCTGGAGTAGGAAAGTATTTCAAAATTTTTTATTTTAGAATGTATTAAAATGAAAAACATATATTCATTAAAAGACATCATAAAAAAAGTGAAAAGACAAGCCAAAAACTTGGAGAAGCTATTTGTATATGTAAAGCAGATAAAGGATTAATAAAGACTTTTTAAAAGAATTCCTACAAATCAATAAAAAAAAGACAATCCAGTAGAAAATTGGGCCAAATATTTAAGCAGTCACATTACACTAAAAGACTGAAGAAATAGGTTCAACCTCATTACTAATCTGAGAAATGAGAATTAAGCTCCTAAAACCCTCTGGATTGATGAAAATTAGAAATCCAAAAACTCTACGTGAGGCTGAAGAGCAATGGGAATCACATGTATGGCTGCTTTGGAAAGCCATGGAATTACCTGCTAAAGTTGAAGCTGTGTATACTTTTGAACTAACAATTCCCAGGTTAGGTATAAATCCTAAGAAGTGTTCATACATGTGCACAAGGAGACAGACATGCACAAAAAGTATTATAGCTGCAGTGTTGGTAATGATGAAAGAACTGGAAGTAATGCAAATGTCCATTAGCGGCAGGCCAGATGAATAAATGGGTGTACTTTGGGTAATGGCATATAACCTAGCAGAGAAAATGCACTACAGCTATGCACACCAGCACTGATAAATCATAGCAACACAATGTTTGGTAAAAAACAGTAAGTTGGGCCAGGCGCGGTGGCTCACGCCTGTAATCTTAGCACTCTGGGAGGCCGAGGCAGGAGGATCACTTAATGTCAGGAGTTTGAAACCAGCCTGAGCAAGAGCGAGACCCTGTCTCTACTAAAAATAGAAAGAAATTAATTGGCCAACTAAAAAAAAAAAAAAACACTAAACACTTATTATAGGCCGGGCGCTGTGGCTCACGCCTGTAATCCTAGCTCTTGGGAGGCCGAGGCGGGCGGATTGCTCAAGGTCAGGAGTTCAAAACCAGCCTGAGCAAGAGCGAGACCCCGTCTCTACTATAAATAGAAAGAAATTAATTGGCCAACTGATATATACATAAAAAATTAGCCGGGCATGGTGGCACATGCCTGTAGTCCCAGCTACTCGGGAGGCTGAGGCAGAAGGATCACTCAAGCCCAGGAGTTTGAGGTTGCTGTGAGCTAGGCTGACGCCATGGCACTCACTCTAGCCTGGGCAACAAAGTGAGACTCTGTCTCAAAAAAAAAAAAACAAAAAAAAAACAGTAAGTTGCAGAACAATAAATATGGCATGATTCCACATAGATAAAGTCTCTAAACATTCCAAAGTACACAATTTGAATCTAAGGATTCAAATGTGATAAACTCATGAAGAAAAGCAAGGGAATAATAAACACAAAATTCATGATGTTGATTATCTCCAGGAGGGGATGGGTGGGACAGGGAGTAGGATGGTGTTAGGAAAGCATTCTCAAGAGCTTCAAAAATTCTGGTTGTTTTATTTTGCAAGCCAAGTGATGGGTACCCAGATGTTCATACTATCATCATTCTTTGTATGTTGGCGTATGCAATAAACATCCCTTTGTATCACTTCAATATACAATAAAAACAATTAAGAATATTTGATAAATTGTCTGTAACGTCTTTAGCTGAATAACCTCTCTTAAATTTCTAGATTGGTTATTCTCTTGTTTTATTTTGCCGCCTGCAATTTAGAGGTTAAAGTAAATTAACCTAACAAAGAAGTTTGTTCAGAGAGGAAAATATATTTCTTATTATTGTGGGGCTTGTAGAATGGAGTATGAGGAGAGAAATCAGTGTTTTGTAGTTAGCTCATGATCAGAAAGAGGACTAGCTTTGAATCAAAATAATGACAAAAATTTCGTTTCAACTTCTTCTGAGCAATAAAACATTTGGTTTCAGAGTTTGTAGTGAACTTTTCATTCTACTTAGTTGCTGTGTGCATGCTTAATCTGGTTTCCTGGCATTCTACTGTTTGAGGAATCCCAGGGAATCCAATATCCTGACAAGTTGGCTCTGGTCTCAGGAAGAGGTGTGTGGAGTGGAGCTGAGCATTCAGGCACGCCTGGCCTCTGGGATTGCTGCAGAGACCCAGCGGGAGAAGAGAAGCTGGGTAGAGGAAGAGGCCAGACTTGCAGAGTGGGAAGAAGCTGAAGGTGGAATAATTACCAGCACTTCTGGAGAGTGGTGCCAGACAATCTACTTAATTTATTTCCAAATAATTAACTTGAGAACCTTAATTATCTAGTTCCATTATCAACCATCATCATCTTCATTATCACCGTGATTCCTGCCACCAAGAGCATCTTAAATACAGCTGCAGATCCTGCTCAAAGTCAGTTTTAAAATCTGAGTCTTTATCTTCCAAGAGTTTGTGAATTAGGCAGTAAAGATGAAGATGTGGTCAAGAAAGAGGCATAGAAAAGTGAACTGACATTAGACTAAGGATATTGTTTGTATTGACTGGCTGTTTTTCACTTGTTCCTTTAACTTTATAGTCTAAAGCCATGCAGATTGGTTTCATAAGCTTTTGCACCTCTATCCAATAAATAACGCTTGCTGCAAATGATTTTTTCATAGTCAATATTTTAATTATTATAAATCTCATAGTTACTGAAATCATACTTTGAAAATAAAAATATTATAGTAATTTAAGTTTCATAGAATCTTATCGATGTAGAATATTAAGCTATTTATTTATTCCTTTAAACTCCACAAATATTGCCAATATGCTATAGCCACATGTTTATTATCATGTTTGATATACAATATTCAATTCTGTTTTAACACAATTTTCCCCATGTGGGTTTGGCTGTTCACCGTCACTCCAAATATTTCATATTTGATAAGAGACTGTATAGGCCCTGGGCTTCAGGGGAGAAAGCATGAGCTTGGGTTCAAATCCTGATTCCATCACTGGCTAGTTGTTGGATCCTTGGAAATTATTTAAAATCTCTGAGCCTCAGCTTCCTCATCTATAAAATGGGCATAATAATCTATAACTTGTAAAGAGAATATTTTAATTAAAATGTGCAGTATATGGTAATTACTTCTCAAATGTTAATTCCTTTGTTCATAAAAGATAACAATATATGTATTAAATTATTTGATGAGACTAAATAGAAGGCAAAAGAAATATATTATACTTTGCTTGCTCTAATAAAGCCTTCAGAAGTTTGGAAAGGCTGGCCATTGACAGTCACAATGTTCTTGTAGGGCAGCAAAACTCTGGGATTTGGTTCTGACACTTGAGTTGCAGGGTCAAATCCTTTGCCCTTCTATACCTTCACTGGTAGTGGCCTGTTTTTTTTTTTTTTTTAAAGAAAATGAGAAAATTACATATAAAGTATGGAATTTTGAAATGACACATGAAATTTTATAGTGTTATAGTAGAGATCTCGCTGAAAGATGATTCAACTTGAAAGCAAATGAAAAAGCAGTGACAACCTAGAGATGAATACTAGCTGCCTTCTGGGTTGTAATTTTACTTGAATATCAAGTAAATTACTTGAATTTACTTGAATCATTCTTTTCCATAATTAAGGTAATATAACATGTTACAAAGCATTCGAAAAATAGAGAAGTGAAAATTGTGCTTCTCCTTCCAGATTTTAGCCTATGTATCTTTTTTGTGTGGCTGCAATCATAGTTTGTATGTAATTTTTCAATTTGCTTTTTTCAGTTACTATTATGTCAAAACATTTTAGAGTGCTGAGTGATATATTACATCCAATGATTTATTTAACAGATTTTCTATTGTGAATATTCAAGTTGCTTCTAAATTTTTGCAGTAATATATAATTATTGTGAAGAACAACTTTGCTTTTGGAATTTTTCAAAGGATTTTTATCTGCAAGGCAATTCAGGTTTTAAAAGAAAAGCTAAAAGTACCAGTTCTCAAAATATTATTCAAGTAAACCTCCTTCAAGTCCTTCTCATTATACCCAGTACCATTTATCAATCCTGATTTCTATCAGATTCTGCCTGATGTGCAACTTGCTTAGGTTGCAATATGCTGTTAAAAGCAGTTATATTTACAATTTAGCTTCACCTAACCCAAATAATAGTACAAGGTCAATGAGAAAGAGAGAGACTATTTAAAAATGGCTAGAGAGTTTTATGGATACATTTACTCCCTAAGCCCAAGTGAGAGGACTGGCTTGAGCTGCATAATTGTCATTTTATCTTTCATTAACACTACTTTTGCTTTTGATCTTTCTTCTTATTCCCTCATTTCTCTCCTCCCCGCAGGCTATTCTTCCAAGGATTTTGAGGGCTCAATGGATTTGTTGACCCTCTTTTCGTCCTCTTATTGTTTCTGTTTTTCTTCCCTGACACACATCCAGTGCCCAGAAATGTAATTTTCATCACTTTGGTCAGTACTTGTTGAGCATCTACTGTGCGCCAGGCACAGTGTTAGGTGCTGAAAAGCCAGCAAGTGCTTCAAATAAAACAGTTTGGGTAAAGAGCATGATGGGGGTGGAGGCTCTGACTGGATATCTGAAGGCAGAGCTGGAGTTAGCTAAGAGAAGAGCATGTACAAAAGGCAGTTCTGACAGGGGACAGCCTTTGCAAAACCGTATGGGGAGTAAGCATGTAAAATGCAAGGAGGAGGAAAACCAAAGCATCTGAGACGCTTCTCCTTCAGTGTGGAGTCCATCCCCACATTGAAAAGCATGACGCTCAGGTGCGTAATGCTTTCCTCTTGCCATCCTCTCTGGAGTGCCATGCTAAATGCTTCTGAAAAGTGCCCAGAGTCCCAGTTCACTTACCTTTTCTCATCGTGTCTGTAAGATGAAGAGGTCCGGCCACTGGTCCATATAAACATCTTAGGGGATGTTGGTCCAGGGGCTCCTTTCCTTACAGTGGAAGTCCTGGAGGAATGGCGAAAAGACCTAGAAGAAGTACACACTGGAGTTAAATCCATTACTTGAAGTTTTGGGAATTCTATATTCACGGCAACCAATAGCTCTCACTGGATTGACAGTAGGTTTTGATGCCTTGGAGGCAGGCAGTGCGTCTCCATCCTGGATGCACATTAAAAATGACCAGGAATCTTTTAAAAACCACTGAAGCCTGGTCCGCCCCTCAGCAATTTGCGTTCAATTTTTTAAAGCTCCCTAGTTGTTTCTAATGCACTGCCGGGGTTGAGAGCCACTGCCTTAGGAAGGCGCAGTTTTCTAATTGATATTTAAATCATTTTCCCTGTAATGTGTTTTTCAAAATACAACTTTGATATGGGTCATACTCTGCAGTATGCTACATTTTTCCAAAATTTGGTTCAGATATGGATACTAAACTTCTGCTCCTTTCCTTTTCAAACTTTTTTTTTTTTTTTAAATGCTGACAGATGTGACATGTTAATGATGAAACATCACTTTTTAAATGTGTTCTACTTTTGCTGGTGTTGTGGGTTCTGCCCTTAGCAGTTGAGTCTCTGCCTAAGAAAAGTATAGCAGCAGTGGCAGCAGATACTCACTGGCTGCTAGAGACCAGGTTTATAGGATCCATAGTCAAGATATTTCAGGAATGTTGTGTTCTTGTGGTTATGACTTGGCTTTGGGAGACGTTCTTCCATTTCCAAACTCAGCATTAAAAACAGTTAGCTTTTGTTATATTTTCTATACAATAATAATTTTCTAAGGAGTTAGAAACATGACATATAGAAATCTGAAGCACACATAAAAGCTAAAATGATATTAACACATTAGAACGAAGGAAGGAAGAAAGGTGATTTCTTCATGGATACACAATCAGTAGAGGCTTTTATTTTGGTTAAGCACAATATTAATGATAAGTATGAGACTAGAAATAATATTAGCCACTATATACCATATTATCTACTATATGCCAGGCATTCTGCATATATTATCTATGCATATAGAATATATATATATATATATATATATTTTATTCTTATAGCATGAAAAACCCACAAGGTGAATAGTGATACTATTTCCAGATTATAAATGATGCTTTCAGAAGAGTGAGATATTTGCTTACATTTAGAAAAGGTGAAGCTATGCTTCAAACTGTCTGCTTGCTTCTGATTCTTTTTCTTCATTAAAAATTTTTAAAATTTAATTAATTTATTTTATTATTTTTAGAGATGAGTTCTTACTATGTTGCCTAGGCCAGAGTGTAGTGACTATTCACAGGCGTCATTTTAGTGCACAGGAGCCTCAAACTCCTGCCTTCAAGTGATCCTCCACCTTGGCCTCCATGTGGCTGGGACTACAGGTGCATGCCAATGTGCCTAGCTTGCTTCCAACTCTTGTTTTCTCTACAGAAGACACATTATGGTCTAGCCCAGTGCTTCTTCAACTGTAAAATGCATACAGATTACCAAGGATTTGTTACAATACAGATTCTGATTCACTGGGTCTGGGGTGGGGCCCAAGATCCTGCCTTTCTGATGAGCTCTTAGGTGATGTCTATATTGCTGGTCTACAGACAGCAGTGCGTAGCAAGGACTCAGAGCAGGTACTCAAAGTAAGTAGTTGGTTATAGCCCCAATTTTGTCACTAACAAGCTGTGTGACCTTGAGAAAGTAACTTAACCTCTCTTGGGCTTAATCTTTACTATGGAGAGTTCAAAATTGATAACCTCTAAGATCTCTCTCAGCTCCACTATTTTATGATTCAATAAATTGAAGAATGAATATAAGAATATACTATACTAAGTCATTGTATACTGACTTTCTGGGAATAGGTCTGGGAATAGATTTTCTATAACACTTGGGTCAGTATCAGAGATACAAAGAATGGAGGCTGTAGGAGGTAGTAGGGGTTTGGCTTAGTAACCAGTATGGATGAAAGAAGTCATACATCCATACTTGGTCTCCTAGGATAAAGGCAGGAATGAGAGGATCCACCTGAAAGGATGCCCTAGATAGTTTTAGAGAGATTTAGGAACTGAATCTACTAGCTCTTTAAATGAATTGGATCTGGGATAAAGTTATTTATGTTCTGTTTTGAACATCTTTAAAACATCAGGTAGAATAGAATTAAATCCATTATTAAAACCAGTTATCCTTCAGGAGATAAGAATGATTTTAATCTAAATTGAATGAATTACTTTATAAGAATGAGGATTGGTTTAAACTCTTGGGAAGTTATTTTCACATGGACTCTGGTAGAATCCTCTGATGGCTTTAGCGATTTCTTCAAAGGGTTTATGGTATGGGATAGCTGAAGAAAAGTGGCACAATTTGAGTCTAGGTAAACCAATAAATTACTGAGTGTTATCCTGTCACTGGCTGTTAGCCAGCATTTAATAAACACACCATATAAATTATAAATGCTTTGAAATTACTCAAAGTGAAGAGGCTGCAGTGATTTCAATAAATTTAGAATACTTGTCAGACTATGTGTCATTATTCTAGCATTCCATCTTTGCTCTGTTGTTTACAGATGATACTGAAAGAGGGAGATGAAAGTTACATTTATTCTAGTGAACTGTCTAAATCTTGCTGGAAAGGACTTAATGACTCCTTGAGTTATTCCAATAAGTGGATTTGGAGCTTCTCTACTCCAATTTTCTTTCATAAACTGTTATTTAAAACCTGCTAAGTTTGTTTTTAATTAAAATGAAAGGGAGTAGCTGCTTAATGACAATAGTATAAAGGTTTTGTGGAGGTTGAAAAAAATTCAAAGCTTCAAACAAACACCTAGAATTCAAAATATTTTAATGGAAGCTGGTTTGGAGGTTCTCTTCTAGCTCAAAGACAGCCCCCCCTAAACTCCTTAAGTAATTGACTCAGCTTTGCTCATTTTATAAGGCAAGGAGATTTCATTTGAATTGTGATTAGGAAGAGACACAGAGACAAAAAAAATACTTTATAAAATTTTGTAATTTGTAATTCTAACATGAAACAGAGATCTTTGTTGCAGTAGCAGCTGCACAGGGCTGTGGGCAAAGGGGAGAAAACCTGGATCTAATTCCATCATTGAATGATGTAGGAACTGGGGAGAACCTGGCAGAGCCATTGTATATGACTGCAGATGAGTACAGTCTGAAAACCAAAAGCCCCAAAAGATGTAAGTAACTTCAGCCTTGAATGAAAGCAGGGAGTCAGTAAGAATGTGACAATTTCTTGTCTCAGGAATTTATAAACTGCCCCTTTCCATGTCTTAAGCACATGCCTTGATAATTTCTGCCTCCCTGACTTGGTTCTAGCCATTCTTTCTCCTTCCCTCCATGCCTAGTGAATGAGTTATCCTGTTTCAAAGCTACCTGGGATGTTCCCTCTTGTGTGAAGCCTTCTCAGACCCACCTGAGCAGCTTCCTCACCTCTGCTTTCAGTTCTTGGTACTTAGCTCTGTTAAGACAAAGCACAATTTATGCTGCTTGTATGAAAATCTGCCTCCCTGCTAGGTTGCAAGCATCTCTAGGGTGGAACTGTGTCTTAGGCACCCTAATGGCACAGTGCAGAACACAGAGTAATGCACCGGCTGTGTTTGCTGCCTTAAGCATCTCAGTATGCACTGGGAAATGTGGCCACTGGTATGACTTGGCCTCATGTGCTGTGGCTCGTGTCATAGCTGGTTGCCACTGACTCTTCCTTAGCATCTTCCCACTTTGCTTCTTCCCACTCTCCACTCCTTCTCCGTCCTTCTCCTGACTGTCCTACTCCCTCTGTGCCTTTCATTGACTTGGGCAGAAACTTTCTATTGCTGAGTTATCATGCAGTAAGGTTTTCCTTAGACAGGGCAGCATGGCCCAATGTGAAGAAGCTGAGCAAAAGCACGAGCTGGGGCTCCTTGATGCCACCTGGCATCACCACCGACCAACTGTGCGACTTTGGACAAGTCAACTTAACATCTCTGAGTTTTAGTTTCCTCAACTATAAAAATGGGAATAACAACACTTGCCTTTCTGGGCTGCTTAGAAGATTAAATGAGACAATAGATGCAAAAGTACCTAAAGTAAATCATGGCACATAACAGGCACACACTAAACAGTAGTTTACCTCCCCACCTCCATTATTAAATCTAAAAGAAAATGGATTGGATTTTCTCTTTCTGCAAAAAAAAAAAAAAAAAGAAAAAAAATGCTGTTAAGTTGCTTTGTACTTCTACATTGAGACCATTGATAATTTTTAACGGGTCGGTGGTTCTCCATAGATGAAAAGCAGTTTTCTGAGATGATAAAATCTGAAGTACCTCACGATTGGCATTACATTCTGATACACATTATGAGCAAGGAAAACATAAAGACAGTGCCTGTGAATGCTGGCCATACATTAGAATCATCTAGGGGAATTTTTAAAAATTAATGGTGCCTGGGTCTCACCCCTGACCCATGAGAACCTCTGGGGCCAAGTCCCGGTGTCAAAATATATTTTTAAACACTGTTCAGGTAATTCTGATGTGCAGCTAAGGTGAGGAACACGGCTACAGCCTCTCGGGTTCTGATTGCATTTAAGTTGAATTCTTTGTGGATACTCTCCCTGTCTCTAGAAGATTCAGCTGGAGAGTGGTGGTTTTACAAGTGCCACTCTGTGCAGTGGCTTCTCTCTTCCTACTAACCCTAAGGCCTCAAGGTGACAGCTGCAAGGATGAGTGAGACACGGAGCAGGGAAAGAGCAAAGTGGATGCAGTTTCTTCACGTCAGTGGCCTTGGGCTACACATATGGGGTACTCTTAATGCACTCTGCTTTATTAAATGAGCAAGCAGGAGCCAACAGAACTATTTAACACATAATTACATGCCTAATCTTGCATAAAATTGTAACACTAATGGCATCATCCTGGCAACTCAAAAGGTCACTCTAAGCACAGAAATTTAGGGTTGCTTCTAATGTGTGAGACTTTATCTTTGCAGACGGCAAATTATATGTTCTTCACAGGAATTGAATTGTTTTGGCTTCAGGGTGTTTGGGGGAGAAGCCTAATGTATGGTGATAATTTTAGACCTAGTGATTTAATTTAGAAAACATTGGGACTTCCTATTAAGAGCAGTTTTAAATGTTGTTGGTATGTTTTCCTCCAAAATCAGCTATATACTTTATTTTGTTTTAGTTCATTCATTTGTACATTCATTTGCCAAACATTTATTAGGTGCCTTCTATATGTCAGGCACTGTACTGGGTGCTGCAGGCACCAAGACATTCAGACCTGCTTCTGAGGACTGCACAGTCCGTGGAGGAGTCAGAATAACAAGTCAACATTTGTGCCCTACTGGACCCACTCTTTCTAAGGTTGCTGTGACTCCCCAGTGAATATAGTTTCTGTCTTCATATCTTATTTAGTTACTGTCTTCATATCTTATTTACACTCTCAGCTTGTTGAATTTGCTATTGTTGATCATTTCTTTCTTCTAAAAAGGAAAATGTTGTAAATACTTTGCAACCTTGATTTAGAGGACAATGCTCTCTCCATGCTCCTTGCTCTCTAGCTGTTCCTTCCATTTCTTTTGTGGGTTCTTATTTTTTCACCCTCCCCTAAATGTCAGTATCATTTGGGGGACTAGCAAATACTACTAAAGAGTCTTGATGATTCTTCATAACAGGAATGAAAAAGACCTTTCTTTACCAATTTGGAACATTAAGTGAATAGCCTTGTTTGCTGCCAGTTGTAGAGGAAAAGAAGTGTATTGCAGAACACTATTGCCCCTTTGAGAAGAATCAAATAAGAGAGAGTGGATTCTCTGACTTCTTATTGCAGGCTGCTTTTTAATATCTCAGACAACCTCGTATGGCATCCTCTGGCTGGAAATGGTGTGGTGGTCCCTTGTGACCTCTGTCTAGTGTAAGGTAGAACAACTGTTGTTCATGTAATCATGTGTTTGACTTCTGTTTCAGGAGGACAGTAGGTCAAGTTAAATAAGGTACGTGTCCTTTAGCCTGCTAGTGACTTGACTCATTGAGCTCAACACTGATGGTTATTTAGAGGCTACGGATTTTTAATCTTCACCGTCACTGAGTAATTGCATAATTGCAGACAAAACACTTTCTCTTCCTCCACTTTCACCATCTGTGAAAATATGACTGTGGAACTCTATTTTTTTAGTCAATTCAGCATTAATTTTTTCACTGAACAAATATTTATTGAAGATGTAAGTGGGTGGCAGGCATGAAGTTGGGTGCTAGGTACATATTGATGAACACTGAGGACAATGTTCCTTCTCTTATGGAACTTAAAGTCTAGAGGAAGAGACAGACTGGCCAGACAAATGTGGATGGGTGTCTGTAATATAAGAATGTTATGCATATTCATCAATAATAAAATAAGTTTTGCATTACATCACATCTACAGTCATAGCAGGATCAGAAATGACCATCTCAGGATTTAATTGAAAGAGCTTTTAAGTTAATTTCAGGTAGAAATCTCAGCTCCATGATATAGTAATTATGTACTCTAAATATTTTGTTAAATTCCCTTGAGCCTCATTTCCCTCATCAAGAAAACTGAAGTAATAGCAGATATCACATAAAATTGCCATGTGAATTATTTGAAATAACATATGGTATTAAGTAGAATCTCAATGAATGTCAGTTTTTTTGCATTTGGAGGGAATGGTTGAATTATTTTCCTCCAGATCAGCTGTGCTTATACATCAAGCTCTTCTGTTAGATTTACTTTTCAAAAAATCCAAAAAGTTCTATGCAGAAATGGAAAACACATTTTTACATGGTCATAATTATTATGCTATTTGATAACTCATTTCTTAGTGAGCTTTTCAAGTGGATAATTACAACTAGTGTACAGTTTGATTCCTTTCATGCTACATATTTAAAACCAGTTTAATTGTTAAACATTCCCTCTATTGGGCATCACACATACAAAATGGTGTGAGAAAAGCTGCTCAGAACTCCCGGGTGCCTCCTAGATTGATAGAGATGACAGATTTATGCTGAAACCATGCATTCCTTCTTGGTGAATGTTGTTCAACCCTTGCTTCTATCTCAATTGAGAATCAAGGGAGTCAAACTATAGTACGAGCCCTTTATGGAGAAGATCTATAAATGACAATATGGCATAAAGATGTGAGGTACTTCTGTAGACCTATATAAATAAAACATTTGCATGCATTATTTCATTTAATTCTGAATAACCCTTATGAGAGCTGTCTCTATTTACCAGAAGAGGAATCTAATATTCAGAAAAGTAGGTAAATTTTCTCAGGTCACATAGCTATGAAGTGGTGAAGATAGAATTTCGATCCAAGCCTGTCCAACTTCAAAACCAACACTCTCTCAACTCTTGCTAGGCAAGCTGAATATCAAAATCCACATCAAAGAATAATGATTGTTGAATGATGGCGGCAACATTCAGCTTATTTCTTCCTTGAGTATTGCATTCTTCATCACATCAAAGAGAGAGAAGGAAATGAAGGATGGGCAAAGAGGTGGCAGGAGTGAGAAAAAGGCAGGAAAGTAAAGCACTGAGGTAAGAATGTGGACTGGGGGAACCAAACCCAGGTTTTTGCTTTTTACTCTCTGTGTGGCCTCAGGAAAATTTGTAATACTTTTCTACCTCTGTCTTCTATTATGTAAAATGAGGATGATGATGATAATAATAATAATAGTATACAACTCATAACATTCTTGTGAAAATTGAGTTAATTTATGTGATGTACTTTGTGATGTTACAATGTAATAATGTTATACTATATGTGTATATATGCAATAATACATAATATATGTAACATGAATAAATGTGAACTAACATATATTTATGTTAATATATGAATGCATATGATATTGTATATGAATTGATGTGTGAAAAATGCCTGCAAAATGGGAATTGTTAAGTATACACTATTATAATTTAAGAGTGGGTTAAACAGACATTATATTTGGGAGATAAAAATCTATGTAAAGATTCGCATAGTTAAATATATTCCATAGACATTCATAAATGAAATCTCTAATTTTTCATGGAGAGAGGAATGAAGAAAAGAGTTAGCATGGAAGTGCATTAGCTCTGCTATTAAGACATCTATAATTAGGGCCCTTTTGCCTCCTGGCCTCCTATTTCTCATAGTAACATGAAGAAATTGAAAGAGATGAGTCTAAGGTTCTTTTCATTCACAAAATTTTGTTTTGTTCTTCCTTGGAAAATTGCAATCAAGTCTGTTCCTGCAATGTATTTGACTTCTAACCTGTCTTTAGTTGAATATAACTTCTATTTTATATTTTGTTGATTTTTTAAATGATGTGTTTGGGAGCTAATGATCTGATTGTGGAAGTTTTAGGTGTTATGGTAAGGTAAACATTTTAGGAGCAAAAAAATAGGGTTCACAGGTCTTCTTCTATCTAATCACAGCAATCATTGGGTAAACCATAATTAAATTTGTCCACAACTTCTTCCGGTAGTCTCTCTGAACTGACTACTGATAATATGTGTAAAATTCTATTTCTGGAGGAAACCAGCATTTTGAACTCAGTGTTCTCAGCCTCACACTGAGTCATCCAGCCCTTTCTTTTTGCCAACAGGACGAAGATTCATTTGATTTATCCATGTCTTTTATTGCCAAGTGCAATAGCGATAAGAAACCATGAGCTCTAGAAGTGAACACAACTATGTTTCAGCTTCGTGTCCACCCCTTTGTTCTCGGTATTACGTTGGATACAAACTAATTAACTTCTCTGAGTCTCAATACTCTTATCTATAAAATGAAAATATTAATGCAACCTTTGAAATTTGTTGTAAGGATTAATTAAAATAATAGGCCTGACATTGGCAGCTATTTATATATATATATATAGCTATTTATTTATATGAATATGCTTATTTAAATATGTTATACATAAACAAGTTTAATTGTTTATATATCCTAATAGACCTAACATGCCAAATTAAGGCCATTTACTGACTGAAGGGATTTGAGACGGAAGTCAGAGAAATCAATGTAGCATTTTGATGCTGGAAGATAAATCAGAGATATTTTGGGCCAGATGCCCAGATTAGGTATTTTTTGGTTTTCTTGGATACTGTTTTTTAAGGCCACAGGTAAAAGGAATTAGAAGCAAATGGTCCAATTGTGAAAACAGCCTTTTACAATGTAAAAGGTACTAAACAGGCAAAGGAAAATATATTTTAAATTTTAAATCCTACTTTGTTTCACTGGAAGGCTGTATTTAAAGATATCAGGAAAAAACAGTTAATAGAAATAAAAATAATTCTTTTTTGTTGGTTATAGGTCAAAGGAAAACCTATTCAAACTGCTTGGATTCTATGGTGAAAGATTCTTGAGAAATACTAAATGAGATATTAATTTAGTCCTTTTAAAAAAAACTGTTTTCACAATTGTCTGGAAAATGTTTGATGTGGTGATGGCTCAGTTGCTGAGGAAGCCCTATAAATAATCCAAATACTTTGGAATCGTTTTCTTAAAGAGCTTACATCTCTTACTTTGTAGTATATGTTCTCAGGTTCTAAATTAGTGACTTAGAACTCAAGGGTCAAGGAGAAACCATCTAAGAAGATGAGTGACTGACAGAATTTGGGAACCTGAATTTTTCAATCCACACATATAACCCTAAAAGGGCTCCCAATTTACAAAGAGGCAGTATGGATAAAGAAGGAAAATGAAATTGCTTTTACCGCTCATTTCCATTCCTTCTTTGCTATGTGGTATGGGGTGAGTTAACTAACCTCTCCTAATGAATCTCAATTTCCTTATCTGTAAAAATGAAGGTTGTAATATGTTCCTCCAACAATTGTTTTGCTACTAAGCAAGAAGACATGTTAGGTGTCTGGAACATGATAGGTATAAATAAATGACAATTCTTTTCCCCAAAGGAACTGGCTTGGTTACCTTGTCCAACATCTGCTATCAAGACTCAGAACTACCTCTTTTCCTATAGGAGAAAGAAGCCAGTACATATAGCTGTTTTCTTGAGAAAATGGACATCAATCCATTAAGAAACAATTATGAAAAGTGGCTTCATATTAGAAGGCATTAGGTGCACAGGCTCCATGAAAGGAGTGATTTACTTCAAACCTAGAGGTGTCTGTTACCCCTTCCTGTTCCTAAGCCTCATCCAAACAGTCACCAAACTCTTGCATATAATATCTTCTTAATATTAATATCCCTAGAGAAGCACTGTTCAGTAGAAGTACAATGTAAACCACATATGTAATTTAAAATTTTCTAGTAGTCACATTAAAAAGAATAAAAAGAAACAGGAGAGATTAGTTCAAATAATATTTTATTTAACCTAATATGCCCCAAATATTATCATTTGAACATATAATAAAAATAAAAAATATTGATATAATTTACATTATTTTCTACTAAGGCTTTGAAATTCAGTGCATATTTTATACTTATAGCACATTGCAATGCAGACTGACCACATTTGGAGTGCTTAATAGCCACAGGTGGCTAGTGGCTACTATTTTGAACCATTTTATTAACAGAATTTGCCCTCTGTCACCATATCATTTTTAGCAACAATAATAAAATATCAAATATAATTGCTATTTTCACTTATTTAGTACTTGCTGTGTAATGGGCCCCATGTTTTATATGTATTACTTTGATGACCCTATCAGGTTTGTCTTAGTACTATCCCATTTTATACATGAGGATGCTGACGCTTAGAGAGGTTAAGTAATTTTCAAAAGGTCATGCAATTTTTAAGAGGTAAATCTGGGATTCAAACCCAAGTCAGTTCGACTCTAATGTCAATTATGGTGCTTCTCCTGAATTACTTGAATAGCTTCCTAACTAGTTGGCTTGCGTTACAGCAAGATATTTTCATTTGGCTGTGTCAAAATAGCCACTTCAAATGGTTATACCTTTATTTTATTATTTCTACCAAAATAATAGAAGTCACTTATGTCACAGACATCCCTGACCTTCAGGCCTCTTTGGGCCTCAGTCTCTCTGTTATCCTAATCATGAGACTCTTCCAATCCCTCATTGCATCCTTGACTCTCAGTCTGGAGACCTAAGAGTGGGGTGAAGTGCAGGAACATAATGGGCATTCAGGGTGGGTTAAGATTGTTGGAAAAAATGTCAGCACTGTCCCTAAAGGGAATAAAGATTCCTTAGGGAAAAGTCTGGATTTAGATGTGGCAGGAAATATGGAAGATGAATCATACCAGACATTTATCAAAGAGTATTAGGATTGTTTCAGAAAGACTCAGGAGCCATCTTGAAGAGGGGACAAAGATAGGACAATCTGAGTATCAATCAGGACTACAACTAAAATGGGTGGAAATACAGCAGATATATTTAGCCCATGATTTCGTAGTGTTATTCTTTTTTTTATTTCGGCATATTATGGGAGTACAGATTTTAAGGTTTCAATAAATGCCCTTTCCCCCCTCCCCCCACAAGTCTGAGTTTCCAGCATGACCATCCCCCAGATGGTGCACATCTCACTCATTATGTATATATATATATACCCGCCCCCTCCCCCTCCCCCCTGCCCAATACCCTATCGTAGTGTTATTTTTTAAAGAACTAATTGGTCACAATTAGAAGATGCTAGGAAATCAATTTATCACATTGGAAACTGGTGAGTATAGGGAAAGAATCTATCATTTACCCTACATTTCTGATATTAACTAAAGCACTGGGAAACCAAATAGTAGGTTAAGTAAAGTTTCTCTTTACAGAAGGATTTAACCTAGTTAATAATAATGGAATATTAGAATTAAACTATCATCCTTTTGCAAGTTTTAATGAGCGAATGTAGTGAGCAAGACTTTGATCATGAGTGATTGCTATCATCAAAAAAGAGAAACAACCCAAAATATCAATTAAAAATTAGTCTTGCCAAAAACCCCAAAGCTGAATCTAATCAATCCCGTAGATCCAATTTATAGAAAGTAAAAAGAACAAAGGAACGTATTATAAAATACTATGGAGATCAACCAGCAAAATTGAGACTGTGAGAAACTCCGTAGGACAGATGACATTGGGTCTTTAACAAATAAATGACAAAGATAAAATAGAGACAATCTATACATTAAATGTTACTTAAAAGATGTATGGACTAATTATGATGTGTGAACTTTATTTGGATTCTGACTATAAAGACAAAAGTCATGTTTTTTATTTTTATCTATCCTAGTACAATTCTTTTAGGATTATTTATTTCTAAAGAATACATCCAGTTAGTTTACTTTTTAATTACATTCATTGACAGATTTCCATGATCTGTAGTAAACCCAGGAAAGATTTCACAGTGCCCTACTTCAAGGAGGGGGTTATAAATGTGAACTTTAGGAAGGCTTCCTGGAGGAGGTGGCAATCGATAGCCAAAGAAGATGAAGAATACTAGAAAGATTTATTGAAAAAGACAATTGAATAGGCTCACTGACGTGAGCATTTTGTGTCGGGTTCGGTGGGAGATTGGAGCCTCTTAAAATGGAAGGTCCATCTTGTGCAGCTGGAATATGCCCAGCTGTGAAAAGACCAGACCTGGGTC